GTTGAAATTTGTAAATATTTAAGTTGATTAGATGTAAAGATAAATGAAAGTGAGGCTCACATGGCAATAGGAAAATTGCACAGGACTTTCTTCCAAGTCTTTAGAACTTCCTCAATTATCGCCACCACTCCCATTACCTTAAGTCCATTTTATTAGAACCTCTCTAATCATAGCTATGTTGAACCTCTCTCATGGTTTCTGTTACCTAAATCTACTTAGGATATTTGAATAGACCGTTTCTAAGGCCATTTCAAACCTGTTTTCATTAATTTCCTTTTTAGGTGCCCTTATTTTTGTAATTATTCTATAACTCTATAGCCTTTTCATAGATAGATTGTGACAGGTTTCGTATTTATTTGTTCCGAAAATTGAAGGTTAACTTTTGATTTCAATTCTTAATAATTTCTTTCTTAGTTTATATTAAAATATCTCTTCTTAGTCATAATCATTTATTTTTTTATACTGTCATTTAATAACATGACACATTTTTTTTAAATGAAATATTTTTTTTTATATAAAAAACTCTTAAATTTTATGATTCTTAGTATACTTTATGTTTTGGAGGATAAGGTTGAGAGATATTTTTTTACACTTTATGTTGTTCTTTTCTGGTTTGTCTTTTTGTTCCTCTTGCAATATCTTTCTTTTACAATGTATTCATGTTTCTTACTTCTTTTAAGTACGAAAAGTCGAACGTTCAAGATAGTTAAATATACATTGTATTTACATATCCAATAAATACAATTACCTACTTTCTTATCTTACCTTTGTATTTACATGTTTTGGAATTAATTTTTTGTTAGGATTGATCCAATTACGATCCAATATCTCATAAATATGTTTTATTTTGTTAATAATATTAAGCTTGTGCTAATACTTCTACCAAATAATCATCTACGAAAATGAGACCGATCGATCAATATTGGTAAGGGTTGACCGACCGATCATGTGATAAGTGCATTGACCAGACAATTTATACAATACACTTTATATTATATAATGTGAGTCATCATGAAAATAAATAATGAATTGTGATATCACAAGCTTTAAGAAAGAAATAATATATCGAGAAGATTCAATATCTGTGAACAAATATATAACTTGAATTCTTATCAATAAAATATGTGTATTTGATGTTATGTGAGAACTCATTATATTAACAATACTTATAGAAAATAAATTAATTTGCAATCAATGAAGAAGGGCTAGACGTTTTAGGATGAGAATAGAAAAGATGGTGAGAAGCATAAGAACACAATATTGATAAGTAAAAAGAAGATTATAAATAGAGAAATGTAATTTAATGCAGAAGCCAACAGAATGGTTTGGCTGTGGTTTCCTTGGCACCGAGTCTTGGCTAGTAGTTTTGTATAGAAGCATAAGCATGTGCTTCATCTTGACTAACTTCTGTGGGGACAAAAACATCTCTGGCTCAACAACCACTTTCTTCCAATGGATCATAGATTCTCTTGTTAGTTTTTGTTATGTCACCACAATACAAGACACAAAAACGAAAGACTTATAACTCTCTTAGGTATCCTCTGTTCATTTACCATAAAATAAAAGAGAATTTGGTCTTGTCGTTTTCTAAAATCAATGTTGTTTCTTCTAAGAGCATGATAGAGAAAGAGATTCGAACAAATTTTGTGTGTGATACATATTGGAACTGTTCAACTTTTAATAAGATTAAGATTGTTTGGTAAAATGTTTGGTATAACTAGCACTCTATTATATGAGCAAATACACGTTCCCGGTGGAGAAAAAATAGGACCATCCACATGGAAATTGCATATGCCTATTCCATGAATACTTCACAAAATTTAAAGGATGAAGGCAAAAAAGGGGACCAAAAGGGTCCATCACAATTGAGTTTTCAGAGCATATTAAAGAACACCTTATTAGAAAAAACAAATATTTCTATAATCTCTACATTTTAAAATAATTTAGTTTCTAACCATTTTTTAGTGAAAAAATACAGAAAAAGTGAGGGGAATGAGTCACATCATGTCTTAATTCACTTTCACCCTTCACAGCCTTTGTTAATTTGTTTGCTTGCTTTCCGACGAAACCGCGTAAAAAATCACGATTGAGAAGCATTTATTATGCTTATTTTTCAGCACAGCAACTTGAACCAAAATTGACAAATTTCATCTCCAGCTAATTTATGTTAATAAATGGAAATTTGTTTCAACGAGTAAATAGGTTATTAGGTATAAAATAGTTGTCAATTTCGTCTTCACTGTATAAAAAAAGATGTAGACCGTTGTTGAGAAATGAAAATTAGATATTTGCTTTAGGTACAAGAAAATAATTTCGTCTACTAGAAGGTATATGCACTTGTCAACAAATTGCATTAAAAATTAATGATAAAACATGTGCATGAATATATCTTTTTAAGTAAGTATTATTTTGTTGTCAACAACATGAACCATCCTAGTTATTTAAAATTAACTATATTAAAATGAAAAAATAAAGCATGAAAAATAGGGGGAACGATCGAGACCAAAATTTACTAGATAACAAAAACTTATAACGAGATAATAATAATAATAATGTACTATTTGAAAATATGAACAGTTAAAATTGAAAGTGTTCTTCGATCATTAAACTTCTTTATTAAATATTATTCAATCAGAGTGTTTTTTCTTATATAATATCCAAAACGAAGCCGTTTATTAAAACCAAAACCTGGGACCTATTTATTAAAACCTTGAAACCTGAAACTTCCTTTTTTTAAGATTATAAAGTTGAGTCCGTGAGTTATTTTAGTTGTTCTATTCATTGAATGTAAGATGGAAAGGAGTTGATTAAATGATTAACTTTTTGTATTATCTGTTATACTTTCCTTTATAGGCTATAGTTTAAGTTTTATAGCATACCCCCACATAAAAAAGTGTTGCATGTTAACCATTATTTTTATGAGAAAACTCAACAGCGTCACAGGATATGCCTGAAAAGGATTCACCCAAATGCTGTGTGCTCCCAATGAAAGACAAAGACTTCATCTGCAACGATGTTGATTATGGGAAAAAACCTACACTGTCTTTCAATGTTGGAAGACATTGATATCATATCTGAAAGTTGCAGAGAAAAAAAAAATTCATGGCAGAAAAGTTCTGAAGGATGGCATATTCATTGAGCACTATGACTCTAGCAAAACGACACACATGAAAGAAAAGACAATTAACACACAATTGTTGAATTTATTATACTAGTTCCCATGTTCTGGTCTTTCCCGAATAAGCCACTTCGCTGACCCTTGTTATTCTATAGTTTAAATTCGATGATTATATATTATATGTGTTGGCTTGCATGTGAAGCATTGTGGTTTTGAGAGGAGAAAAAGAGTTCATACATGATGAGTATCAGAAACTCATTAAGTTATGTGCAACAAACCATGGGAGGTTTAAAACAAGCAGAGAGAGAGACATATATATACTTAGAATATATAGAAATATTTAATAAAACATGCACTACTTTGCTCTCATCACCCATGTTATGTTTAGGGACCCATTTAACGCGTATGTTTGGGTTTATATTTTTCACTTTCTTGACCTTTTGTGCAAATGAATTCCAACCACAGCTGTAAACCAAACATAAAAGTTATCCTTAAAAATAAAAAAAATAAGAAAAAGGATAGAGACATGATGGATAGAGATATTTACAAAACTCCTAATCTTTTAATCCTTGACATATATGCTACTTGTGTTTTTTCTGTCTCCCTTCTTTTTTTTTCATTGTTTTGTTTGTCTTGATCACTATTGTTTTTCGTTTACCTTAGCTTAGAAAGAAACAAAAAGCAAAACTTTACCAAAAACTAGAAAGTGCAAATAGCTTTATCATTAATTCATTTGTTAGATTTGTAAGCCAACATAAAACAGAGTTTAAAAGATTCTTCAGGAAGAAAATAATTGTTGGTGACACTTGGCACACTGGCATGAGAATATCACCCCACCATTGTTTTATTCAGATAATAATAAGGTGTTTTGGCGTTAGTAGTTTAGCACATGGAACTGATCACATATGCAATGGGATGTCCGAATTTATCATTTTAGTTCATTGAACCATGCAATCTTTTGTTTGTAACACACATAAAAGGGAATTTCTCATTCATCTCATGAGATATACACAATCAAGCAATACAAAAAAAAACAATCTTTTTAGGATAAATAAAAAAACTCACCACAGATTAATCTTGTTTTAAAGTTGAATGCTTATAATCTTTTTACTACATCTAATAGTTTCACATAGTTTAAGAGGGAAAGTCAAACACAATTTAGATACTTCTGCTCTACTCTTCGATGTTCTTTTAAGAAGAAATTGTGACAAACAAAATTCTAAAGCAAAATGTACCTCAACAAGTAAGGAACTTTCATCAAATTATATATGTTAATATTAGGCTAATTATTATTGTCCAAGAATTTATCTTAAAGGGATGTGTCCCAGCTTGGAATTGACCCCATTATAAAATCTGCAAAGACAGTATCATAATGGATATGCAGTGGTAAACAGTGTTTATCCAAGTTTGCACTGTAGCACTGTCCACCACTGCATCAAATAATTGCAACACATGATCGATTGATCATTATCTTGGTAGCCAAATTGTCGAGACCAAGTTCAAAATCTGATAAATATGAATAAGGCAATTGGTTGTTTATTTATATTTTAGAATGATTGTTCAAAAATCTAGTGGTTCAAACCTCTGCCAAGAGGGGACTACAAACTGGTCATTATCTACAAATTTCTCCCTGCAGATCAGTTTTCACATGAGCAGAATCTCTGGACAATGATCTTCAACATTAGATTTTCCTTAACAAATATATATAATATGAAACAACAGTACGCATGTTAGAGTGAACAACATGTGAATGGTTTTATGAAACACTAATTCAATAATCATGACTAGCAAATTGCAATACAGCCAAGTTATGGCTGATAGGTAAAGAAAAAGAAAGTAAGACCTCAAAATCCCGATGTGGGACCCCTCTTTGCTTAAATTGGTGCAAATTGTTTGGAGAAAGTGCCACACACATACAACAAGCCCAACTACAAAAACCCACCCCCTCTTCCTTCTCTTCCCCCCATTTGTTACCACAAACTCAACATTTTCACTAACTCTTTCTTTAGAAAATTCATTTCTTTTCCCTATCATGGCTAGATCACAACAGCGATACCGAGGTGTCCGACAAAGGCATTGGGGCTCTTGGGTCTCTGAAATTCGACACCCCATATTGTAAGTGACCCCTTGGACCATGATGAATCAACGTTCCAATATCTGTTAAAACATGTTTATATTTAGCATCGGACAGTATCTCGAACATTATTGATTTAAACTTTGTTTTCTTATGTACAGAAAAACTAGGATATGGCTAGGAACTTTTGAAACTGCTGAGGATGCAGCAAGAGCCTATGATGAAGCAGCAAGGCTAATGTGCGGCACAAGGGCAAGAACAAATTTCCCTTACAACCCAAATGCATCTCAGTCATCATCTTCGAAGCTTCTATCGGCAACTTTAACTGCAAAACTGCATAGGTGCTACATGGCTTCTTTGCAAATGACAAGGCCATCATCACTACCAGAGCCTCAGAGAGTGGCTTCACCGAACGTCATCACCTCTGCAAGTAACTTCTCCGTAAAGAGTAACGAAACTAAAACAATGTTGCCACAGAAGAGAGAACAGGAGGAGCAAGAAGTGGAGGAGAATTGGGTTTTGAAGAAGGTTAAGGTGGAAAGGACTCAGCAGTTCAAGCCTCTTGAAGAGGATCACATTGAACAAATGATAGAGGAGTTGCTGCATTATGGCACTATTGAGCTTTGCTCTGTCATTCCCCACCATAGGCTCTTTTAAGCATTCACCAATCTTTTTTATTTTATTGTTAGTTCAAATTCTTATTCTGCTAATTTAACTAATTCCTTTGGACAATTTCAGTTTCAGTTATTACTATTATTATTATTATTATTATTATTATCATCATCAAGTGCTTTAGGTGGTAGACTAGACTAGAACATATCTTCCAAGTGACTCTTTAGACAATGCTGTATGTATAGCCAGCCAATCATGTTGAAATTGTGTCTTTGTTTTGTTTCAGTCTCAATCTGCATTTAGTTGCTGAAGCAGTATCTTGTCTTAAATGTAAGAGGGTTTGGCAAAACAGCATGACTTTTTAGCCAACTTGCTTGACCAATCCTTTATTTCAAACATTGCAGTTTTATGCACTGACATTGCTCTTAATTTGACACATCTGTTTGAAAATCAAATGTTCCTATCAGTTTAAATAAAATAAATTAAATTAATTGTCCTGAATCGAATAGCAATAAATATAGAAGATTTCACCCTCTGGTGTCTCTTTCATCATATCTTTCGTGTTTCTCGAGTCCGTGTTTGAAAACCAATCACAATGCAATTTTACTTTTTACTCTATGCAGAATGTAGAGAAATAGGAATCACTCTTTGACTATTGAATTAACTTGCCTGATATTGAAAACTAACAAAGAAATACTTTTAAACTATTTAAAGTAAAAATGAACAAATATATCGTATTATTATATTATATCACATAATAATAGACCATGTTATCAATTAAACTAGTTAAACAAATAGTTTTTATCCGTGAAACTTGTGTTATTACGATTTTACTGTATAATGGGTAGGTTAAATTTATCTATGAAACTTTTGGGATTGAAAGTGTTTGAATGAATAGATTAACTAAGTATTTATTTATTAACTTTATTTATAGATCTTTCTGTAAATTTTGTTCGAATAACTTTATTTTGTAAGTTTAAAATTATTAAAATAAAATAAATAAAAATGCGTACAAGGCCATAAACCACTCTTTTAAGTTCAAATAATTATTTTCAGCATTTTTGTTTTAACTTTCAATTGTGCACAGCCATTTTTTGGTTTAGGTTGACATAATCGAATTAAATATTGACTAAATCAACCTCATATTGATTGAAAATATATGCATTTGTAAAGGGTTAATTTTAGTTGACCATTTTGAAAGGTAACTAACATCACATAAATTTTCATTTGTGTTATTAAAGAGTTGAAGTTATTTTTAATTAACTTTTAGGATTATATATTAGAAATAATAAGGTCTAGTAGTTGAAATTTTTTATTGGAGAAATGTTCATGAGACCTAACGCCATTTTCAACATAAAATTCTAAGAATTTTCATTTAAAAGTGATGTGGGAGTTTCATCTCATTCCTATATTCCTACCATTATCATAATATGAACCAGATAATCAATCTCTTATACAAACCCATTTAGCAAAGTGAGACAACACTGAGAAGCGTAAGACAAGATATTCAATTGTTTTCCGAGGTTATGTGCGTGAAACAACATAGTTTTGACCAGCTGTGGGAAATATATGATTACTGTTGCAGTGTTGGATGGAATTTGGAAAAAATAAAACATCTTTTTACTTTGTTGGCCTGTGTTGCTTTTAGAAAGAATGGACACTGAATAAAATTTAGTGGATGTTCTAATGATTTGTGCAAGGCCCCATTTGTGTCTCAAAGTGCTTTCAAGGTTCATTTTTTAAGCTCCTTTAATCTTGTCATTATTTGCAGAAACTCATAGCCTCTTCATGAAAAATTTCAGTCATGTGAAGTTTGGCATATCAATAATTACTTATTCATTCAAAATTACCAATGTCACACTCACACATCGATTAATATAATTGGGTTCTAAATTTACCATGTTTCATAGAGATTGAAATGTAAAAGCAGAGCACTCTGTTTCATGAGAAAAGTGTCACAGAAAAAAAAAGAATATAAAATTTCCCCCCTTTTGGTTAAAAATTTAAAAATGTTACGGGAAAATTAATGAACATATCTTTGTTCCAGTTGTTGTTGCTGCAGTTAAAGGAATTCAGTGTCCTAACAAGTCTCTTTGAAAGTGATCAAACTGAGGGATGAAAATGATGGTGGTACCAAAGTCACTGAATCAATTTAGTAATCCTGAAAGGGTGACAATGTTGTCACTAATTTGTACATTGGAGGGGGATTTTACATTTATGTATTTCCTTTTGGGAATACATCCTTTTCATGCCACATCTCCTGCAACTTTAATCAGCTTTTATCTGCATAAGATTTGTTAGATATCCACATATTAGCTAAAGCTTAATCAACACAATAATTAGGCAGTGTCACACATGCAAGTCTAATCTTTGCAATAATCATGCATTAATGCTATTGCACAAAAAGTTGTTTTGAGTGGTAGAATTTGAGAATACTTGTTATGATCTTATGGGTTAGTGTAGATTTTTCTTCATTTATGCATATAGCTGATAATTTTCACTGTTTTGGATGTTAATTTATTCAAGCATAACTAGTGTAGTCTGTTTGTAGCACTTGGTTTAAATTCTAGAGTTATTCCTACTTTAAGGATTCAGAGGTTGAAGATGACTTCAAGCATAATATGTGGAAGATTTGTGAATTTTGTTGTCCCATATCTATCACTGAAACTTCATGATTGTTACCCTGTTTTGGCATTGATTTTGTTCCCCACAACCATCAAATAACAAAGTTGTTTTAGCCTCATTATTTTGTTCTACTTTTGAATCAATAAAGTTGGTTTAATCACGTGGTATATCTTAGTGAGTTTTTCATTATTAACAGTTTGAATCTTGTGACATAGAGAGTCACTTTAAGATTCATGCGACCCTCCACTCCACATTCCTCATTTTATCCCTACACATGCAACTCCAACAATTACTAAACTGGGGTCAAATTCATTCTTCATCACAGAACAATAGGAAGAACCAGATGGTAAAATGCTTTGCCTTTATGGCATGGCACCATCTTAAAACTCATGCTCAATATCTCAATTTATTTACTGGTGCATGGTTCATATGGCATAATGTCACTCTGACTTGTCATCGTTACTGTCATTTTTTATGTTTATTTTATCCAGTAATTGAAGTGCAACTTTTATGCACATCCAGCTAACTATATCTGCATACATTAGTTACAGAGTGGTCTTGATTTCATGAATATATAGAATTCACCACCATGTTGGTCTGTATTTTGGCTTGAAACTCATGGTTATAAGAAGACTAGAGATTGAAGTTTGAGGGAATTATGAATGTCTGTCCACAAGAAGCATACTCATTATGAATAAAAAATCTGGCATTGCCCTTTTATCCCATTTCCTTTTGCCCCAACTTGACAATGCTGATATTATCAGCAATGGTAATATGAAAGTTAAACCTAGTGGGACCTAGTTAGCTTATTTTATTTTTGTTTAGATTCATAGTTAAAATTAATACAGTACTTCTTGATGATTCCATAGAGCTGGAAGCAATGTCATGGTAGGCATTTCATAGAGTGGGAAATAGTGTGCTTGATAAAGGTAGGTGAAAGAGTCAAAAGTGTGATTTTCCTGAGAAAAAGAAGAGGTCAAAATCAATCATGGTTTATATACAGAATCTGTGTTAGAAATGTTGTGTGAGATAGATAATCATACAAGATTATTTTGATTTTGTAAGTGGTGTATTATTAATTTTGTAGGTATGCCTTGGATCAAGTGAATCATGCATAAATCCAAAAGGGATAAACGTTTTGTCAGAAGAAAAAGAAAAAAAGGAAAAGGTTGGTTGCCTACTCTGCTAAAAAGCCAAAATACTTTCTACAAGCAGTTTCAGAGCATGGCAAGTTTTTCTTCACTTTGCTGAGTGGAAGATGATGTTTTAGGACATGTCAAAAATTTCTGATACATGTCTTTCCATTTCCTTTCACAAGGTCAGATGCATGTGCAATGCACACACTCTGATCCACATGCTCCTTAAACCACCCTCTCACCAAACAGACAACTTCATTTGGGTCCATTCACATGCATAGATTACTTTACAATATTTCTGAGAAATGGGTCAGAAAGAAATGTTTTATGAACAAATATTAAATTTGAAATTTTGAAAATTTTAATTTTTTTCCATAGGCTGTATTTCTTTTCTTTTCATTTTATAAGACTAGGAAGGAATAAAAAACTTACATAAGTTAATCATACTTGCTACTTACAGAATATTTATTATTTATATTTATTAAGTAACTAATATTTTAATATTATTTATAAACGGATTGAGTGCAAATAATACTTACGGTATTTGCAGTCAATAAAATTAAAAATAAAAATTAAATTTTAATTTATATTTAATTTAATTTAATTTAATTAAAATTAAAATAAATTTATATTTTATCACATTAAATTTAAGTTTTAATATATATTTAATTTAATTTTTATTATATTTTATATATTTTTAATAATTTTATTTAAATATTATTTTAAAAATTTATATAAATATTTTTTTAATATTTATAAATACTCGTAAATATTCATATATTTAAAATATCCATAAATATTTTTTTAGACGAATATTCACTCAAATAAAAATAAATAACAAATAGGTTTTTTTTATAAATAAGATAATAAATAAACATTATTTATGTCCTACCGATATATTGTGATAATATCTTAAGTAACTTTCATTTTCATTTATCTTCGTTTTCTTCACTTAGTAACAGGACAAAAGTATGGAACACTTCATAATTTAAAAAAGGAAAATGACACTTGAACAACCATTTTTGACAACATTTAGACACGAGAACACGTGTCTAAATGTTGTCAAAAATGGTTGTTCAAGTATCATTTTCCTTTAAAAAAGGATAACTTGCCACAATGTAAAAGTATTAATTATTATCTCTTTATTATTACTTAACAATATAGAGCTCTGAATAGTGGAATATAATTAAAGACACATACAATGATGTAAATGTGAGCTTGAGTAAACCCTAAACAAACTTTTGAGCTACCCGTGTAAAATAATAGCTATGCTAACTGCGTAGGGTGATGACAGTGACACATTTTGAACATCATTTTAAAATAACTATTGGACTATTATTATTTTACTTTTTTTCTTAATTATTGGAATAATATTTAGTGACTGTAGTTAATGAGTATTTAAGTAAAATGTATGAGTTGTTATAACTATAGATAGGTAAAATCATAGTCATTCATTTTATGATATGTGTGGCAATGAAATACTTCAATATAAATTATTCTGCAAGTCTTTAAATATTTTCCATTTTTTAATTAGATCTTTGCATTTATTTTTAAATTGAATTCTTTCGTTGTTTAGTTGTTGTAACAAAAAATTAAAATGGGATCAAATAATTAAGTTAAATAGATCTGCATTAAGAAGCCTGAATAAGAATATGGAAGTAGAAGTGATAGTAGTCAGTGCAAATGTTATAATAGAACATTCAGAAACTAAAAAAAATTATGTGATTTTCTTTAGTGTCA